GATGTGAGTAAGACCTTTTAACAGGTTAACATTTACAAGGTCGCAGGGCCAAATGAATTACCAAGACGCGTACTCAGAGCATGCGCTGACCAACTGGCAAGTGTCTTCACTGACATTTTCAACCTCTCTCTGATCCAGTCTGTAATGCCTACATGTTTCAAGTAAACCACCATTGTCCCTGTGCCTAAGAACACCAAGGTAACCTGTTTAAATGACTACCGCCCCGTAACGCTCACATCTGTAGCCATGAAGTGCTTTGAAAGGCTGGACATGACTCACATCAACACCATCATCCCAGAAACCCTGGAACCCACTCCAATTCGCATACCGTCCCAACAGATCCACAGATGACGCAATCTCTATTGCATTCCACACTGCCCTTTCCCACCTGGACAAAAGGAACACCTACGTGAGAATGCTGTTCATTGACTACAGCTCAGCGTTCAACACCATAGTGCCCACCAAGCTCATCATTAAGCTCATTACTAAGCTAAGGACCCTGGCACTGAACACCCCCCTCTGCAACTGGATCCTGAACTTCCTGACAGGCCGACCCCAGGTGGTGAGGGTAGGCAACAACACATCCACCATGCTGACCCTCAACATGTGGGCCCCTAAGGGGTGCATGCTCAGTCCCCTTCTGTACTCCCCATTCACCCACGACTGCGTGGCTGCGCACAACTCCAACACCATCAATAAGTTCGCCGACGACACGACGGTGGTAGGTCTGATCACTGACGACAATGAGACAGCCTATAGGGAGGAGGTCAAAGACCTGGCATTGTGGTGCCAGGATAACAACATCTCCCTCAACGTGGGCAAGACAAAGGAGCTTATCATGGACTAAAGGAAACGGAGGGCCAAACTCGCCCCAATTCACATCGACAGGGCTGTAGAGTGGGTTGAGAGCTTCAAGTTCCTCTGTGTCCACATCACTAAGGAGCTATCATGGTCCAAACACACCAACACATTCGTGAAGAGGGCACAACAACGCCTCTTCCCCCTCAGGAGGCTGAAAAGATTTGTCATGTGCCCTCAGATCCTCAAGAAGTTCTACAGCTGTACCATTGAGAGCATCTTGACTGGCTGCTTCACCGCTTGGTATGGCAACTGCTCAGCATCACGACGCAAGGCGCTACAGAGGGTAGTGCGTATGGCCCAGTACATCACTGGGGCCGAACTCTCTGCCATCCAGGACCTCTATACCAGCCGGTGTCAGAGGAAGGCCCTAAAAATGGTCAAGGACTCCAGCCACCAAAGTCATAGAGTGTTCTCTCTGCTACCGCACAACAAGCGGTACTGGAGTGCCAAGTCTGTGACCAAAAGGCACCTAAACAGCAATTTACATTGACCCTCTCTATTATTTTATTTTTTTACTCCCTTTTTCGTGATTACGATCTTGTCTCATCACTGCAACTCCCCAACGGGCTCGGGAGAGGCGAAGGTCGAGTCATGCGTCCTCCGAAACATGACCTGCCAAGCTGTACTTCACCCAGAAGGAAACATGGTTCAACTGATGATCAAAGTCAGCCTGCAGGCGCCCGGCCTGCCACAAGGAGTTGCTAGAGCGCAATGAGCCAAGTAAGGTAAAGCACCCCTGGCCAAACCCTCCCCTAACATGAACGACGGTGGGCCAATTGTGTGCCGCCCTATGGGACTCCCGGTCATGGCTGGTTGTGAAACAGCCTGGGATTGAACCCCAGGCTGTAGTGATGCCGCAACACTGCGATGCAGTGCCTTAGACTGCTGCGCCACTTATTTATTTATGTATCTTAATGGTTTAGCACTGACATGTACATACTGTATTACCTCAATTACTTCAACTACCTCGTACCCTTGCACATTGACTCGGTACTGGTACTACTTGTATATAGACTCGTTATTGTTTTTATTGTGTTACTATTTCCTTTTTTATTTAGCAAATATTTGTCTTACTTTTTAACTATGCACTGTTGGGAATGGGCTTGTAAGTAAGCATTTCACTGTAAGGTCTACACCTGTTGTATTCGGCGCATGTGACCAATAAATCCTATTTCAGGTCGGATCAGAAGATGACCGTGCCTGGAGGGTGAGCACTTTGATACCTTTCTTATTATAATAATTGTTAGAAAATACTATTTGTTTATTTAGTATTAAAATTATTTTAATTCATTAATCTTTCAATCACAGGACCAGAGGATTGAGAAGAGAAAGTCAGCTGTGCTGGAGCTGAAAGGAATGTTGGTAAGATGGGATCAATAAAACATTTGCAATTCTACAAGAGTAGTGTGTCTAATAGGTTGATGAGATTAAGATTAATAATGTACCCTGAATGGTTTACTGTATTATTTTCTTTGACCTGACTGGTTTACCCTCCTCCTCACCTATCCTGATTGTCTACTGTACTACCTATAATAGGACACCATAAAGCACCAAGGCCACAGGAGGGCATGGTCACGGAATAGGTTCAGCCGAAACGTGTGGGAGGCAGAGCTACAGATTGTGCTATAGAGAAGGAGACGGGCCATGTCGGACGGACAGGACACCTCCAGCTCCGCCCTCTCCACTGCCACAACCCCTACCAAAATACAAGGTGCAGTAGCATCTCCATCCTTTGTTTTGGGGAGTGGGGGACAGTCAGTCTGTTTGGCTTTTTAAGGGTTGCAGTGTCCTTTCTGGTTATTGTTTTGTCCACAGGCACTAAATTGATGGTACTACATTAAAAGATGGACTGGTCTTGAATGGCTTGAAATGGTTTGAGGTCAAAGTTGGTTAAAGAGAAAGATTGATACAGATGAAAACAAACGAGGGACCAGATGGGCACATCATTAGCCCACCCAGGCTACATTTAGACAAGCAGTCCAATTTTGATATTTTTTTTCACTCATTGGTCATTTGACCAATCAGATCAACTCTGAAAAAGATCTGATGTGAAAAGATCTGATGTGATTGGTCAAAAGACCAATTAGTGGAAAAAATATTAGAATTGGGCTCCCTGTCTAAACGCAGCCATAGTGATGTTTTTCACTTACCTACAATATTTTAGCATTTTTAAAATATAAAAAAATGGCTTATATACCATATGTCTTGCCCCCAGGCCCCCAGCACGGCGGCCCAGCAGCAGGAGCACTTCCCTGGGCAGGACAGCACCCCTGTGCTCCGGAGGCTCCAGCAAAACAGAGAGAAGAGGAACTCCCGTATCAGAGCATCAGAACGGATCATCTGCCAGGAGGACATCTGAGAGTTGGGAAAAGGGATGACTAGTGTTGGGATACTGTACCACAGTGTTTCCCAAACGTCTCCTTGAGTAGCCCCAGCCAGTCCACATATTTGATGTAGTCCAGAACTAGCACAGCTGATTCACCTAATCATCAGCCCCTCATTAGTTAAATCAGTGGTGCTAGTTCTGGAATATATCAATATGGACTGGCTGGGGTTACTCAAGGAGAGGATTGGGAAACACTGCTGGACCACAATCATACAGATATACTGTATATTATAATGGCTATTTTAATGTATACATGTCTATGGTATACATATGTTCTATTGGAGAACCTTTACCTGTAATAATAACTCAAATGTGAGTGGCTTGGGTTAAGGCTTAACCTTAATCCTGGTCCTGGGGACCCAAAGGGGTGCACATTTTTGTTTTTGCCATAGCAGTATACTCCTGATTCAAATAATCAAAGCTTGATGATGAGTTGATCATTTGAATCTGCTATGCAGTGCTAGGGAAACAAAAATAATTTGGACCCCTTTGGGCCACCAAGTCCAGGATTAAGAAACACTGGGTTAAGGGTAGTAAGCCAATAACAAATACATTTCTGTGGCAGTACAAATGGACAAGGATATTCTACTTATGCTGGGTGTGAGAAATACTTGAATGGCAATTTGCCCCTTTTTGAATAAACCATCCATTAATTTATCTCATTCACATTCAATGTTGCAACGAGAACAGCAAAGAGAGAGAAGAATATGATTCTGCATTGATGCTTTATCGTGTAATTCTTGGTGCATAATTGTCCTGATGCTCTGAATATTTGTGTATTTTTGTATAGGGGTCACTTCACTCTAATACCTGCCATGCTTCAGCTATGTAAAAAATACTTCAAAGAGGAAATAATACAATATTTTATTCACATCACGCCTCAGTTGCCATTTGCAAATGGAAAGCACACATACAGTACCAGTGAATGAAAAATACATATACCACCACCAAATGATTTCTACTGTTTCTTTTGAAGAGTGGAAAGCTACCTTTCCTCTCATTCTGCGCTCTGGACCTCCTTGTAGCTGGAGACCTAGCGCCTTAGTTAGCTCACACAACAGAGGAATGGAGTTGGCAGCCATTTAGGCACTTCATATACTTGCGTTGCCAAGGTGTTGTCGAGCTAAGAGCACTCAGGTGATCTTAAAGGTCCTCCAGCTTCTGAAAGTGTCTGAAATGGAGGCTGGATGGATGGCACCTTCTTGAGTTCACACTTCCACACAACCCTGCTCTTTGTTAAAAGCATTTGAAAAGGGGGGGATTACTTTCACACTTTAACTCGGACACCATTTTAGTGTCTGCTGCACGCTGTTCTCTCATTATATATTTATTAAATTTAGCTCCTTTACTAGAAAGGTCTGCTTTTCACTTTCAGCATATATTATTCATTGTTTTTTTGCCCCACAATCTCAAAGGTGTAGGTTTTTTAAATAATGTTGCTACACCTCTCTGTGTAGGTGTGCCTCCCTCTTTGTGTGTGTAATGAAATTAATAGAAATAAAGTAGCCTATTAATTCTACTATATTTCTACTACTATGATTTCATCATTTACAGCATGCATCGAAGACCAACAGATAATTACAGCACATGCATTTCTGATAATTTATTCCAGCTCTAGCCCTAAACGACAGAGCGCAGGCAGCCCCTCTGTGTCTCTCTTTGCCCAAATGTGCTGGAGTTCCTCCGACCAGAACTGTCGCTGTAGTCACAGGGGCACACTGGATCCTGGAGACTGTTGCTCTTGCCGTGCTTTCCTCAACGTCCGACTGCCAGTGGGAGGAACTTTGACCAACCACCAGTTAGCTAAATTATTTCATAGCGTAATATAGCACTTACTGTCACTTTAGTTTGTTTTTTCATATGTATGTGTGTTGTTTTACATGAAACGAGATGTGGTTTATTTATTTACTAAGTTGGCTGTCGTTGGTGATACAAATATCTTTCATCACACTAGCAATTGGTGAGTTTACTTTTTGAAGTTGTTAGCTACAGTAGCTAGCTAGTTAGCATCGCCACAGCCCCTTCTTTCCCACTCCACCTATCGATTCATGTCAATTCGGCCTCGGCTCGGGTGCAAGCAAAATGACAAATAATCAACAATGTGGCAGAATAAACTTTACTCTACTGACTTGCTAACTAGGATAATAGTTTGAGTTAATTTAGTTAACTAGCTAACAATGCTATGCACATAACGTAGTGTGGCAAATTCCCATAGTTAGCTACAGCTAGTGAGCTAACAGCCAACTGGGTAACTAAGGTTAGTTAGTTAGTTAGCTAGCTAACGTTAGTTGTGATTCACAATCCAATCGAGAGAGTTAAGCAAATCTAACGTCACTTATTTTGAATTGTAAAGTTAATAACGGTAATCACTACAGTAATCCTGCGGCGTTTCATGCAACTGGTGACAAAGTTTACCTAATGTTAACTACCTATTGCTGGTCCATGTTGTTGCGCAAGGGGTTACTAGTAACTAACTAGTTAGCGAGTATCTTCTACCACAACACCGCTATTTACAAAATCGCAAAATAACGTTATTGTAAAGCCAATAATATTACGCAATAGTTGGATAGGAATGTCTGGCATGTAACTGTTCAACTGTTGCCCTAACGTTAATCCTAAATTCCAAGCAGAGTATGTGAGCGGAGTTGAGCAGTCGGAAATCACGCTTGCACACGCTCCGATTTCGCTCCATTCATTAAAATCACAATTTAACAAACACCCATCTATTTCTGTGACTACCTGGACCTACTATTTCGTTTTGAAGTATTGAAACCAAACCATATTATTTGAATGAAAAGTATTTTAAGACGTGAAAAGATTAATGTAAGAAGCGCTCATCATTTCAAATAGGCTACATGTCGTATTAAACAGCATATACAGTGCATTCGGAAAGTGTTGAGACCCCTTACCTTTTTTCACATTTTGTTACGTTACAGCCTAATTCTAAAATGGATTAAATAAATAAAAATCATCATCAATCTACACACAATATCCAATAAAGACTAAGTGAAAACAGGTTTTTAGAAATGTTTGCAAAAAAAACACACTTATTTACATAATTATTCAGACCCATTGCTATGAGACTCGAAATTGAGCTCAGGTGCATCCTGTTTCCATTGATCATCCTTGAAATGTTTCTACAATGATTGGAGTCCACCTGTGGTAAATTCTATTGATTGGGCATGATTTGGAAAGGCACACACTTGTCTATATAAGGTCCCACAGTTGACAGTGCATGTCAGAGCAAAAACCAAGCCATGAGGTCGAAGGAATTGTCCATAGAGCGCCGAGACAGGATTGTGCTGAGGCACAGATCTGGGGAAGGGTACCAAAACATTTCTGCAGCCTTGAAGGTCCCCAAGAACCTTAAATGGAAGAAGTTTGGAACCACTAAGACTCTTCCTAGAGCTGGCCTCCCGGCCAAAATGAGCAATCGGGGGAGAAGGGCCTTGGTCAGGGAGGTGACCAAGAACCTGATGGTCACGCTGACAGCGCTCCAGAGTTCCTCTGTGGAGATGTGAGAACCTTCCAAAAGGACAACCATCTCTGCAGCACTCCACCAATCAGGCCTTTATGGTAGAGTGGCCAGATGGAAGCTACTCCTCAGTAAAAGGCACATGACAGCCCGCTTGGAGTTTGCCTAAAGGACTCTCAGACCATGAGAAGCAAGATTCTCTGGTCTGATGAAACCAAGATTGAACTCTTTGGCCTGATTGCCAAGCATCACGTCTGGAGGAAACCTGGCACCATCTCTACAGTGAAGCATGGTGGTGACAGCATCATGCTGTGGGGTTGTTTTTCAGTGGCAGGGACTGGGAGACTAGACAGGATCGAGGGAAAGATGAACGGAGCATACATTGAGATTCTTGATGAAAACCTGTCCCAGAGTGCTCAGGACCTCAGACTGGGGCGAAGGTTCACCTTCCAACAGGACAATGACCCTAAGCACACAGCCAAGACAACGCAGGAGTGGCTTCAGCACAAGTCTCTGAATGTCCTTGAGTGGCCCAGCCAGAGCCCGGACATGAACCTGATCGAACTGATCGATTGTGCTTTGTCATTATGAGGTATTGTGTGTAGATTGATGAGGGGGTAAAAAAATAAATATCCATTTTAGAATAAGGCTGTACCGTAACAAAATGTGGAAAAACTCAAGGGGTCTGAACCATTATGCTTTCGGGATATGTCTTTTCAGATTCCACAATGATTATTTAGTTGTGGACACTACATTACTGCACTCCCTCTCTTGCTCTTGGTCCTCATCTTTGTAAGTCACCTTGATTTTGCACCTGTATGTTTTACCAGTTTCTTTATGAAAATATTTAGCGAACTCCATGACAGTAACTAAAGCAAGGGTCTATAGCAGCACACAAGTAGACTACAAATGCATGCTGGGCCAGGCATGCCCTGAGCTCGTGAAGTGAGCGAAATTAGAGCGGCCAACAAGGCCGACGCTCCAGCCTTTGGGAATCTCGCTCCGCGCTCCAGTCAAATTGGGCACGCTCACTCTGATTCCAAGGACCGATGTTCTGTTTAAAGGCGAATTGGCTCTGGAAGCCAAAAATGGCCAAATACTCCATCTAAATGTGAATCTATTCTCATTTGCGGTACGGTTCTAGAAACGTAAATCCCTCTACTTTCATATCACATCGAAATAATTTCACAAATGCAAAAAACTGATTTACCTTTTTAACTGACTTTAACAGGCTTGTAATAACTTATGGGATATGGCTGGCATATGCCCTTGTTTAAAATCAGTCTTCTAGGCTAGTAGGTTTAGCTGTGCAGATGGATTGAAAAATTATATATTTTTGCTGTACTAAATAAATGTTCATCTGTAAACTTAGATGATAATACTAGTTTGAAAGTGATAAAGTGAGTGAACCTACTTTTGTCACATAGGCTATTTAGTTTGATCCTAAAATCCAATTTGATTGGACAGCTATTACTTATTATGACGTCGTCTATTTTAGCAACTGTCATCAGGAATAATGTAATAACCAGTCAATTAAGATAGTCCATGTGGATTTACTGCAAATATGTGTCAAAACAGCTCATGAATCTCATGTTCACACAGTGAGTTTGCACTGCAGGCAGTGGGGCGGTAAAACTAAGAGGGGGAGCTGTCCGACGCGGAATCAAAATATAAAAAAGAGAAATGTCTGCCTGTCATGCCTCGCTAGGAGTTCTACCGGCACTTGAGCATAGGGTTCAAAAGTGCACGGCGCTCTGTCCGCATTTCCTCACCGTATGTGTGTAGAAGGCCGGGCGGGCATGGAGTACATTGCCTTGCGTGACGAGATGCAGATTGTTACTGTGTGTGTTTGTATGTGTGCTCTCACCCCCTTCTCTTTGATGTAATTGTTCTGACTTGTTTTAGTGCCTTTGCCTCAAGTAGCCTTTTCTGGAAGCATGTTAGTAAATGGCTGATTCTATCTAGGCTACCTTCAGTTCTTCAAGCGTTATTTTGGGTTGTGTGTGTGTTTACTGCCGTGAATGTTGTTTACTTATTCATCAATCGATCTCATCCCTTGTATGTTACAGTGCAGTCTATGGACAAGCTGGTAAATGCATTTTGTTTGTTTTTTATGTATTTATTAGTACGTCTCTCCTCCTCCCCCAGCTGCTGGCCTGTATTATTTGGCAGAACTAATAGAAGAATACACAGTTGCCACTAGTCGAATAATAAAGTACATGATACTGGTGAGTAGTTTCTCTTGGATGATATCTAACACAGTGACCGATTTTAATTTCCTTGAACACTTTGGCTCTACAGGAGCTGATCAGTCTTACAGTCTAAATATCCTTGTCATCTACTTGTACTTCCATCTCTTCTGTACAACTCTCCCCTTATTACTTGTGTTAGGTGACCTACTATTCCCATATGTCCCAGGCTGAGTCCAAAATGTGCACTACCTTCGTCCAGAGCCCTGTCGGCCCTGAACAAAAATATTGCACTGTATGGTGAATAGGGTGGCGTTTCAGATGCATCCTATGTTGCAGAGGGGAGTAGTGCTAATAACGCCCCTGCTCTGTGTACTGTAAGTTCTCTACAGGTGTACTGACGGGGCTGTACCTGTTTGAGGGCTTCCCATGGCTGATGATGGGCTGTGGTCTCTTCACCAACCTGGTGTACTTTGGCCTCCTGCAGACTTTCCCTTACATACTGCTGAGCTCACCCAACTTCATCCTCTCCTGTGGTGAGCATCAGAGGCAGGCAGCTGCTGAGGCAGGAACAAGTGTATAGTAGTGATAGGTTTTCGAGATATAAATGTTTAACATATTGTATTTATCCCTCCTGCATCTCTTTGTCTTTCTCTCCCCTTCTCCCTCTCTCCCTCCTTCCCTCAGTGTTGGTGGTGTTGAATCACTACATGGCTTTCCAGTACTTTGCAGAAGAGTATTACCCCTTCTCAGAGGTAAGTCTGGGACACACAGTCACCCACCTCTGAGATAAGCCTAATCTGTGTTGATCAGGCCTGAGCTCTTATGAGCAAAGTATTGCAGGGTACATAATAATTTATTTACTTAGCAAATGACATAATGGAACTGTATGAGTGATGGCTCAAATACTCAGGGTTGGGTATGTTATGTTCTAAATGTAATCTATTACAGTTACTATTTACCTGTCAAATTGTGATCAGTAACATCATTTATGGATTACCCAAACTCAGTAACGTAATCAGATTACTTGCAGTTACTTTTTGATTACTTTCCCCATCATAAGAAGACAGTTTTTTTTTTTGTAATCAGTTACTCCCCAACCCTGCAAATACCTCACCAAGGGCAAAGACCGTTGCTATGTGTAATGGGAATATTTTAACTGAATAAAGTTAAAATTCAAAGACAGAGGACTCGCTGATTATTATTGTATTCTCTGAACACCGTGATTCTGTAGCAGGTGACAGTCACTGCTTTTTGTTTGGACTTCATACAAGCCTCTCGGGCTGGTGTTTACAGAACAACTGTCTGCTGATTAGGACCTAGTAGTTATAGGCTATATATTCTGCTATGGTCAGGGACAACTCTTAGCCCTAGTCGTAAGCTCTAAGGCCCTGGCCTCTAACCCCTGTAGCTCCTCTCTCCTCAACTCCGTATCTCTTCTCTCCTCAACTCCGTATCTCTTCTCTCCTCAACTCCGTATCTCTTCTCTCCTCAACTCCGTATCTCTTCTCTCCTCAACTCCGTATCTCTTCTCTCCTCAACTCCGTATCTCTTCTCTCCTCAACTCCGTATCTCCTCAACTCCATCTCTCCTCAACTCCATCTCTCCTCAACGCCGTATCTCCTCTCTCCTCAACAACATAACTCTTCTCCCTGAAGGTCCTGGCGTACTTCACCATCTGTCTGTGGATCATCCCCTTCTCGTTCTTCGTGTCTCTCTCGGCGGGGGAGAACGTGCTTCCGTCCACCATGCAGCAAGGAGGTGAGCTCTTAGGGCTAAGTCTGAAATGGCACCCAGAGCCTTATGATACGAATACTTGGTCCTGTTCAGTAGGGCACACACTTGATGACAACAGAAAACGTTTGCCAGGGAAATAAGCGTTTAATAAAAACGAGTTCAGTTTCATTTTTTCTTCTCCCTTCTGGACCCCACCCAGATATAGCACGTTCAGATATCATATCCCCCCCCCCCCCAGTTGTTCAACTCTAGGCCAACCAGGTTATTTTACTAAAGATAATGTAACTCTTTCTCAACAACTTACCTGGCTAGATAAATTAAACATATTTAAACTTTATTTTTCTTCTCTCCTTCCTTTTTTTTCTCCAGATGACGTGGTCTCAAATTACTTCACCAAGGGCAAGAGGGGCAAGAGGTCCGGCATCCTGCTCATCTTCTCTTTCCTCAAGGAGGCAGTGTTGCCTAGTCGACAGAAGATGTACTGAGGCTCTACCCGGGGGGGGGGGGGTGGTCTGGGTGGGTGGGTTGGTAGGGGTACAAGGGTAGATTTGGGAAGGGACTAAAGGAGAGGAGGAAGAAGAGCTCATCATAGCAGAGCAGACGAGAGCTTCCCGTTATTGCTACGGACTAGCAGCAGTGTGTTTACAGGACTTGTACATCTCTCATTCTCTCTCTCTAGCTCTGTCTGTGTCTGAAATGGCGCTCTATTGCCTATATAGTGCACTATATAGGGAATAGGGTATCCATGTCTGTCTGTGATGATGGTGACTGCCAACAAAGAACTGAAGGCCTCTCTGGCTCCTGTTCTACAGCTGCAGTAGGTGCCTCCATAGGCTCTCTTCTGCATCAGACTATTCTGTTTTTTTAAAGGTTTGTTAATTAAACTACGTGTTGGTATGATACATTTGGGCCGTATTCATTAGTGCACACCGTAGCAAAATGTTTTTCAACAGAAAACTAAAACAAGCGTTTCTTATTGGACAAGTTCAGGTTGTCCCCTCTCCGTTTTAGTCAGTGTTCTTCTGTTTGGTGCCTAATGAATACGAGCCAGGTGGAGGGCAGGTTGGAGAGGGGAACAGGGTTAGCGTGAAACGAGGCCAGACGGGATCACTTGTTTGCGTCCCAAAGGGCGCCCTATTCCCTACATGGTGCACAACTTTTGACCTTTGTCCCATGGGCCCTGGTCAAAAGTAGTGCCCTATGAAGGGAATAGGGTACCATTTTGGGAAGCAGCCCTTGTGTTGTGTGCTGGGTCGCTAACTCCCTACTAGTATGGGTTTGCCTACTAAGCCAATGTTTGTACGTGGCCGCATAGGAACAAATGAGTTTTTTTTGTGTACATCTTTACTGTTCATCAATCATCAACGACGCAATGGTTCTCAAACTGCTCATTCTCTTGAACCGTTCAAAAGAAGAAAAAGAAAGCTTAAATAATACAATAAGTGATTTTTTTGTATGTCAATTGATAAAAACAGGAAACAAACTAACATGCCCACAAATACTTATGAATCTGTGATAAGATCATTTTTGTAGGCTTGTTATGGGTGAATCGGGGACTGTTTGGAGAGAGAAACTGCTAAAGTGATGTGTAGCAATGCTATTAAAGAGGCAGTTATATGGTGTGAGACTCATCACTGATTGGCTGTGTGGAAGATAAATGGTATACAGTGGGGTATGGAATTATTGGATCCCTTGATAAAGATGAGCAAAAAAAACTAAGTAAAAATACAAATACTGAGCTAAATTACAAATATACAGTATATTTATACTAATACAGTTGCTCAGAGAGATTGTTTGACAAGTAACACATAAACAATATAGATATTGGATGCCCTGTTTTCAATATTCCAGCACCCTCCCCTTTGCGAGGATAATGACGCAGACATTTTCTAAATGTTTTATGCGATTGGAGAACACATTGGGAGGGATCTTAGACCATTCCTCTGTACAGAATCCTTCCAGATCCTTGGATCTCTTTCGTCGGCACTTAAGGACTACCCTCTTCAATTCAAACCACAGGTTTTCAATGGGGTGCAAGTCCGGCGACTGAGATGGCCGTTGCAAAAGACTGATTTTGTGGTCAATTAACATTTTCCTTATGGATTTTGATGTGTGCTTGCGGTTATTGCCTTGCTGGAAGATTAACTTGCGGCCAAGTTTCAGCCTCCTAGCAGAGGCAACCAGGATTTTGGCTAAAATGTCCTGGTACTTGGTCAAATGTATGATGTTATTAACATTAACATTAACAAGGGCCCCAGGACCAGTGGAAATAGCCCCATAACATCAAAGATCCACCACTATATTTTACAGTAGGAATTAGGTATTTTCTGTATATGCATTGTTCTTTCGAAGGCCAAACACCATTGGTGTGCCTGGCCAAAAAGCTCTATTTTCATGTCATTTGACCATAGCAACGCCTGGAGTATGCTAAATGGCATTGGCACCTGAATTTGAACTGGTGCTATGGTCATATGACATGAAAATAGAGCTCTTTGGGAACGCACACCAGCGGTGGGTTTGGCCTTCGAAAGAACAATGCATATGCAGAACATACAGTTGAAGTCGGAAGTTTACATACACTTAGGTTGGAGCCATTAAAACTTGTTTTTCAACCACTCCACAAATTTCTTGTTAACACACTATAGTTTTGGCAAGTCGGTTAGGACATCTATTTTGTGCATGACACAATTTTTCCAGCAATTGTTTACAGACAGATTATTTCACTTATAATTCACTGTATCACAATTCCAGTGGGTCAGAAGTTTACATACACTAAGTTGACTGTGCCTTTAAACAGCTTGGAAAATTCCAGAGAATGATATCATGGCTTTAGAAGCTTCTGATAGGCTAATTGACATCATTTGAGTCAATTGGAGGTGTACCTGTGGATGTATTTCAAGGCCTACCTTCAAACTCAGTGCCTCTTTCCTTGACATCATGGGAAAATCAAAAGAAATCAGCCAAGACCTGAGAAAAGAAATTGTAGACCTCCACAAGTCTGGTTCATCCTTGGGAGCAATTTCCAAACGCCTGAAGGTACCACGTTCATCTGTACAAACAATAGTACGCAAGTATAAACAACATGGGACCACGCAGCCGTCATACCGCTCAGGAAGGAGATACGTTCTGTCTCCTAGAGATGAACGTACTTTGGTGCGAAAAGTGGAAATCAATCCTAGAACAACAGCAAAGGACCTTGTGAACATACTGGAGGAAACGGGTACAAAAGTATCTAAATCCACAGTCAAACAAGTCCTATATCGACATAAACTGAAAGGCCGCTCAGCAAGGAAGAAGCCACTGCTCCAAAACCGCCATAAAAAAGCCAGACTACGGTTTGCAACTGCACATGGGGACACAGATCGTACTTTTTGGAGAAATGTCCTCTGGTCTGGTGAAACAAAAATAGAACTGTTTGGCCATAATGACCATCGTAATGTTTGGAGGAAAAAGGGGGTCTCTTGCAAGCCGAAGAACGCCATCCCAACCGTGAAGCCCGGGGGTGGCTGCATCATGCTGTTGGGGTGCTTTGCTGCAGGAGACTGGTGCAGGAGACTGGAGCACTTCACAAAATAGATGGCATCATGAGGAAGGAAAATTATATAATAATATGCCATTTAGCAGACGCTCTTATCCAAAGCGACTTACAGTCATGTGTGCATAAATGTTTACATATGGGTGGTCCCGGGGATCGAACCCACCACCCTGGCGTTACAAGCGCCATGCTCTACCAATTGAGCTACGCAGGACCACATTATGTGGATATATTGAAGCAACATCTCAAGACATCAGTCAGGAAGTTAAAGCTTGGTCGCAAATGGGTCTTCCAAATGGACAATGACACCAAGCATACTTCCAAAGTTGTGGCAAAATGGCTTAAGGACAACAAAGTCAAGGAATTGGAGTGGCCATCACAAAGCCCTGACCTCAATCCTATAGAAAGTTTGTGGGCAGAACTGAAAAAGCGTGTGCGAGCAAGGAGGCCTACAAACCTGACTCAGTTACATCAGCTCTGTCAGGAGGAATGGGCCAAAATGTACCCAACTTATTGTGGGAAGCTTGTGGAAGGCTACCCGAAACGTTTGACCCAAGTTAAACAATTTAAAGGAAATGCTACAAAATACTAATTGAGTGTATGTAAACGTCTGACCCACTGGGAATGTGATGAAAGAAATAAAAGCTTTCAAAAAAGAAATCATTTTCTCTACTATTCTGACATTTCACATTCTTAAAATATAGTGGTGATCCTAACTGACCTAAAACAGGGAATATTTACTAGGATTAAATGTCAGGAATTGTGAAAAACTGAGTTTAAATGTATTTGTCTAAGGTGTATTTAAACTTCCGACTTCAACTGTACCTCATCCATACGGTGTTATGGGGCAATTTTGCTCAAGGATCTGGAAAGATTATGTATGGAGGAATGGTCTAAGATCCCTCCCAATGTGTTCTCCAATCTCATAAAACATTTTAGAAAAAGGCTCAGTGTCGTTATCCTCGCAAGGGGAGGGTGCTGGAGTATTGAAAACGGGGCATCCAATCATTTTGACCCCTATATTTTTTGGTTGATTTTACTTGTTACAATTGCTCAGAGAAAGAGATTTTATTATACACTTTTTTTGCTCATCTTTATCAAGGGATCCAATAATTCCGGACTCCACTGTAAGACTCAATCAATGATTGGCCGTGAGGTAGTTAACATTTTACGTATAAGTCATTTAGCAGACGCTCTTATCCAGAGCGACTTACAGGAGCAATTAGGGTTAAGTGCCATGCTCATGGGCGTTCATCCACTGGCCTGCTGGCCCCCCTACCTCTGCGGAAGCACAGTTCCCGCTCAGCCCAGTCAAAACTGTTCGCTGCTCTGGCACCCCAAATGTGGTACAAGCTCCCTCACGACGCCAGGACAGCGGAGTCACTCACCACCTTCCGGAGACACTTGAAACCCCACCTCTTTAAGGAATACCTGGGATAGGATAAAATAATCCTTCTACCCCCCTTACCCCACCCCACCCCCCAAAAAAAACATATTGTAAAGTGGTTATCCCACTGGCTATAAGGTGAATGCACCAATTTGTAAGTTGCTCTGGATAAGAGTGTCTGCTAAATGACGTAAATGTAAATGGGCTCATCAACAGATTTTTCATCTAGTCGTCTCAGGGAATCGAACCAGCAACCTTTCGGTTAATATGGTGTGAGACTCAATATGTGAACGGTTATGTGGAATTACTTTCCTGGGACGTGTTCACTGGGTATGAATTGTGTAAACACTAAGTAACAGACAAGAAGCATTCTTATTGGACTTACGTTTAGTATCTTCTCCGTTCCAAAACATGTTCTCCCACTGCTGAAGTGAACACGACTCTGCTTTCGCAAGGTACTCTATATTGATTCTGTCCTTTCACTATACGTGTATGTGGTTCTGGGGCTAGCAGCAGTTGCGGGGAGGCAAAAGGTTGAACAGAGGTCAGAACATGCCATCGCTGGGGTGTGAAGTGATTCTCAGGAACAGTGTGAGTGTGTTATGATGACGAAGTAAGCGGACAAAACCACAGCTCCCATCTCCACCCCCTACCTTCTTTTGACAAGCTCTCACCTGCAGACCTAGTCTAGACCCCGAGGGAGTGTCATCAAGAGAGCAGGCCCCCGTTTGTGACAAGTGACCCAGGTTACTGTGGTCTCACCCCTGTGTCACCCCCCCCCTACGCACCCCTCCCTTACCTTCACGCAGGAGACCGAGGAGCTCCAACCACAGAAAAGTAGCTGGAGACTGGTGAACTCAGCTGTTGTTCCACTTATGCATAGCCAGTGTGACATGGGTATGGGGGGAGAGGAGTTATCACGGTGCCCTATAAAGACACAAAAGCACTTAATTGGGATAACAAGCCCAGAGTGGAAAGTTACAGAGTAGTCCTTATTTCTCCTGTATTCAACAACATACACAGTCATATACTAAATACAATACCCATTTGTAACCATTTTCCGGTGTTAGCTCTGACATTGCTAAACAATCCTTGTGCGCCTTTCATAATCTCTGGCAATTTTTATTGGATGAGAATTTGTAAGTCGCTCTGGATTAGAGCGTCTGCTAAATGACGTAAATGTAAATGTAAATATACAGTATTAATGCCACCAGTAATGTTTCTCAAATATCACACCTTTTAATAATAATAATAATACTCCTGATATGCAAAATCTGTTATGTTGTGCAGAACACCACTGTCCAATAGCCTGTGATGCTTTGTGACATAGTAGTCAGTACAGTGTCTCTCCATTACAGTACAGTAAGACTGGGAGAAAGTGGATCTCTTCACCACTTCTTAAGGTAGAAGTTGCCCCCAACCACAGATCTAGGATCAGATTACCCTACCTGCCATTCTAGCCTTAACCATTAGAGGGATGAAAGAGATCTGACTCTGGATCATTGGTTAGGGGCAGCTTCTACCTCCCGCTCCATCCAGTCAGTAGTGGCCAGGCTCCAGCTCCTCAGCCAGGTGCATGGCCACCTCTGTCCAGGGAGAGGTGTTGGGTCCTGGGGAGCAGCCGAGGTGCGGCAGATCCAGCACATGGTTGGGCTGGAAGTGGCTGGGCGAGGCGATCCTTGATGGGAAGGCAGCAGGGAACAGCCCCCTCTGAAGGACATCCCAGGGCAGGTTAGGGACCGACTGGGGGGACCCGTCCCACTTGGCAGTGTACTGGGGACGTCCATCCCCATGGGCCCTGCAGAGGGTCACGCTGCGCCTCAGATCGGGCTCTGGAGGGGACCTCTCGGGCTGGCTGCTCAGACGCACCCCCTGGGGCCGGGAGACAGAGGCCGGGGGGGGTTTGGAGGGGTTGGGGGAGATGTTCCAGGCCTCCCGAGGCGGGGCCCCTGGACGCTGCCTGTGGCAGGCCTTGGTCCTCTGGGTTTGTGGCCCCTGGCTGGGAGGCCTCTGGTCTGGGGAGAGGCAGTGGGCGTGAGCCTGGTTCCACGTGGCCCTAGGCTGGGCCCAGAGGAGGGGGAGGCCTTTCTTATTGGCCCACGCCGTGACCTTCTCTTCCATCAACTTCTGTCTCGCCACCTGAGGGAGTTCACCAAGGAAACATGGACACGGAGGAGAGACAGGTAACAATCGTTAGGAAAAAAGGAATCATTACTTTTTTATTAAATTCAAGTTTTGACTTTTTAACGTTGTTGACAGTGTTGGATCTATGCAACTCATGAGTAACTTCATATCAGTAAAATAGTAACATAGTATCTGTAATAGTAACAGTAATAATAACTGTGTTGTGTTTTTCCACACAGTAGACTTCCACACAGTAGACTAGACAAACCTTCTCTATGCTCTCGGCCCTCCTGTGCATGTTGAACAGGTCCTGCTGAAGGTTCTGCAGCGCCCTGCGTCTCTCCATCTCTCTCTTCTTCTCGCTCTGCCACATAGAGTCCTTCAGAAACCTGGCCACACACAGTCAGTCACATACAGTCAAGTTAAGTGTCACTTCTGTTAAGAGTAAGCAGAGTAAACTCATTGTCTTCTGATAGGTGGCGCCAGTCCAAGGCACCACTCGTCCCTCAACTGATCTACGAATGTCTCTCTGAAGTGGCTGTATTACCTGGTAAGTACACAACCTATTACTACTACTACATCACACCTTTCAAACAAACACACACATCTCTCTCTCTATACCTCTATTTCTCTCTTTCTTTCTCTCTCTCTCACACACACACCTGGCAATCCTTCTGTGGCACCAGATGCGTGCCAGGTCTAGAGGTGTGTGTCCTCTGTTGTCTCGTGCACCAGTGTCTGCCCCCACCTGCACTAGAGTCTCGGTGCACTCCCACAGGCCCTCGGTGGCAGCCAGGTGGAGGGGCGTCAACCCTGTGTCAGTGGCTCTGGAAATGAACCAATACATTACGCTCTTACAGTACATCATCACCACCTTCTTCATCTTCAATGTCATTATCATCATCATCATCGTCATTATAAAGGTAACTCTCATTATAGACATTGTGATAATGTTGTCAGAGCAAGAGATGATGGACCAAGGTTATGTACACGTTTGGCAGGGCTCCGTGCTCCAGTAGGTAGGTGAGGCAGGCATGGGAGTGGGGTCTGCTCTGGACAGTGAGGACCATGTGGATGGGTCTGCGGCCCAGGGGGCAGCTGGCATTTATGTCCACCACTTGGGATGTCAACAGCAGCTTCATACACTCCAACTGCCCATGTAGGCTGGCCACGTGGAGCACCGTCAGACCCTGGTGTGTGTGTACATATAGGTATGCAGGCCAGCACAGTGCACAGTGCACACAGACAGGCACACAAGTGCAGACAGATGGACACAGGCACACGCACACGTGCAGACAGACACAGACACACAGCAGGTCAGTACAGCCACAGATAACATGTTGGAATGCATGAATATAAACAAATGACTAGCACTTCAAGAGATGTAGTTATTTAATTGACATCGATTCAAGCCGCCAACACAGTGCTTGACTCACCTGTTTGTCGAGCTGCGTTGGGAACAGCGCCCGCTTCAGGCTGAGGCGCAGCCAGTCACGGTCCCCGGAGGTGGCCGCCTGGAACATGTCGCTGTCCGGCGGAGCCTTCACCACCCGCCGCACCAGCACCACCCCACCACCTACCCTGGGCTTACTGATGGAGCCCATTATCCAGTCAGTCAATAACAACAATCAGTCCAGGAACAGGTTGAGAATAGGAATAAAAAAACGTTCGTCTTTTATTGTTTTAAAAAGTATAGTTTGATAGTATGAAATAAACTAGTAAGCCCAGGCTCTGCTTAGCCTAAACTTCTGCCAGCATTAAGGCGACTCCTTGCCCTTGGGCGGTGCGCCACCACTAGGCTAGGCTACTGCAAGTTGCGCTATAACTTCTGATCAATTGCAGGCACGCAGGATAGGCTACAATGTTACAGTGTTACAACCGGTTAAATTGATAGCTACAAAGTAGTCTAGCAAATCAGGATACAACTTTACCACATAGTAGCCATCTTCAGGTAGATAATTTGCCGCGTTTGTTGATGTGTTCCATGGTTGCTATGGTTATTCTTCACATTGTTCCACTCTTTTTAAGCACAACTCAACACAAATATAGTTAATTATATTTATATTACTCAATAACCCAAAACAGAACATTGCAACAGACACATCGAAACTTTCCTATTTAAAATCAATTTGATTGGAACTCTTACTTTCTTTTTTCAGAATTCAGAAGTTGTCCTTGTAAAAGAGAGTGCAAAATGAATTGAAAACATAGTAAATTCCCCTTTGCGCATTATTAATGTTCCAACACAAGAATATTGACACACTTTCGAGTAATAGTCCATGGCCCATTATCGCAGTCCAGTGTGGAAGACAAATAAATGATGTCAATTTTACTGCGGTTGAATGAAAAGCATGTGTGTGTGTGTGTGTGTGTGTAGAGGCGTGGCTAAGAAACCCCTCGGGTAGAAGGAATCAGGGCCTGATCCTATTGTTTCTGTAATTGTTCCTCACTCACATAGCCTACAGACGACTGGGCTTTGTTTTGTAACGGCTATGAAATGTATTCAATTAAACAAATATCCTAGTTCACAGCAAAGGCAATTCTAGCATACTTAAAAAAGATATACAGTGGGGAAAAAAAGTATTTAGTCAGCCACCAATTGTGCAAGTTCTCCCACATAAAAAGATGAGAGAGTCCTGTAATTGTCATCATAGGTACACGTCAACTATGACAGACAAAATGAGAAAAAAAAATCCAGAAAATCACATTGTAGGATTTTTTATGAATTTATTTGCAAATTATGGTGGAAAATAAGTATTTGGTCAATAACAAATGTTTCTCAATACTTTGTTATATACGCTTTGTTGGCAATGACACAGGTCAAACGTTTTCTGTAAGTATTCACAAGGTTTTCACACACTGTTGCTGGTATTTTGGCCCATTCCTCCATGCAGATCTCCTCTAGAGCAGTGATGTTTTGGGGCTGTCGCTGGGCGACACAGACTTTCAACTCCCTCCAAAGATTTTCTATGGTGTTGAGATCTGGAGACTGGCTAGGCCACTCCAGGACCTTGAAATGCTTCTTACGAAGCCACTCCTTCGTTGCCCGGGCGGTGTGTTTGGGATCATTGTCATGCAGAAAGACCCAGCCACGTTTCATCTTCAATGCCCTTGCTGATGGAAGGAGGTTTTCACTCAAAATCTCACGATACATGGCCCCATTCATTCTTTCCTTTACACGGATCAGTCGTCCTGGTCCCTTTGCAGAAAAACAGCCCCAAAGCATGATGTTTCCACCCCCATGCTTCACAGTAGGTATGGTGTTCTTTGGATGCAACTCAGCATTCTTTGTCCTCCAAACAAGACGAGTTGAGTTTTTACCAAAAAGTTATATTTTGGTTTCATCTGACCATATGACATTCTCCCAATCCTCTTCTGGATCATCCAAATGCACTCTAGCAAACTTCAGACGGGCCTGGACATGTACTGGCTTAAGCAGGGGGACACGTCTTGCACTGCAGGATTTGAGTCCCTGGCGGCGTAGTGTGTTACTGATGGTAGGCTTTGTTACTTTGGTCCCAGCTCTCTGCAGGTCATTCACTAGGTCCCCCCGTGTGGTTCTGGGATTTTTGCTCACCGTTCTTGTGATCATTTTGACCCCACGGGGTGAGATCTTGCGTGGAGCCCCAGATCGAGGGAGATTATCAGTGGTCTTGTATGTCTTCCATTTCCTAATAATTGCTCCCACAGTTGATTTCTTCAAACCAAGCTGCTTACCTATTGCAGATTCAGTCTTCCCAGCCTGGTGCAGGTCTACAATTTTGTTTCTGGTGTCCTTTGACAGCTCTTTGGTCTTGGCCATAGTGGAGTTTTGAGTGTGACTGTTTGAGGTTGTGGACAGGTGTCTTTTATACTGATAACAAGTTCAAACAGGTGCCATTAATACAGGTAACGAGTGGAGGACAGAGGAGCCTCTTAAAGAAGAAGTTACAGGTCTGTGAGAGCCAGAAATCTTGCTTGTTTGTAGGTGACCAAATACTTATTTTCCACCATAATTTGCAAATAAATTCATTAAAAATCCTACAATGTGATTTTCTGGATTTTTTTCTCTCAATTTGTCTGTCATAGTTGACGTGTACCTATGATGAAAATTACAGGCCTCTCTCAACTTTTTAAGTGGGAGAACTTGCACAATTGGTGGCTGACTAAATACTTTTTTTCCCCACTGTACACTACCAGTCAAAAGTTTGGACACACCTACTCATTCAAGGGTTTTTCTTTATTTTGTACAATTTTTTACAGTGAAGAATAATAGTAAAGACATCAAAACTATGAAATAACACATATGGAATCATGTAGTGACCAAAAAAGTGTTAAACAAATAAAAATATATTTTATATTTCAGATTCTTCAAATAGCCACCCATTGCCTTAATGACAGCTTTGCACACTCTTGGCATTCTCTCAACCAGCTTCATGAGGTATTCACCTGGAATGCATTTCAATTAACAGTTGTGCCTTCTTAAAAGTTAATTTGTGGAATTTCTTTCCTTCTTAATGGGTTTGAGCCAATCAGTTGTGTTGTGACAAGGTAGGGGTGGTATACAGAAGATAGCCCTATTTGGTAAAAGACCAAGTCCATATTATGGCAAGAATAGCTCAAATAAGCAAAGAGAAACGACAGTTCATCATTACTTTAAGACATGAAGGTCAGTCAATATGGAACATTTCAAGAACTTCTAAAGTTTCTTCAAGTGCAGTCGCAAAAACCATCAAGCACTATGATGAAACGGGTTCTCATGAGGACCGCCACAGGAATGGAAGAACCAGATTTACCTCTGCTGCCGAGGATAGGTTCATTAGAGTTACCAGCCTCAGAAATTGCAGCCCAAATAAATGCTTCACAGAGTTCAAGTCACAGACACATCTCAAAATCAACTGTTCAGAGGGGACTGTGTGAATCAGGCCTTCGTGGTCGAATTGCTGCAAAGAAACCACTACTAAAGGACACCAATAAGAAGAAGAGACCTGCTTGGGCCAAGAAACATGAGCAATGGACATTAGACCGGTGGAAATGTGTCTTTTGGTCTGGAGTTCAAATTGGAGATTTTTGGTTCCAACCGCCGTGTCTTTGTGAGACGCGGTGTGGGTGAATGGATGATCTCCGTATGTGTATTTCCCACCGTAAAGCATGGAGGAGGAGGTGTTATGGTGTGGGGGTGCTTTGCTGGTGACACTGTCTGTGATTTATTTAGAATTCAAGGCACACTTAACCAGCATGGCTACCACAGCATTCTGCAGCGATACGCCATCCCATCTGGTTTGGGCTTAGTGGGACTATCATTTGTTTTTCAACAGGACAATGACCCAACACACCTCCAGGCTGTGTAAGGGCTATTTGACCAAGAAGGAGAGTGATGGAGTGCTGCATCAGATGACCTGGCCTCCACAATCCCCCGACCTCAACCCAATTGAGATGGTTTGGGATGAGTCGGATGGCAGAGGGAAGGAAAAGCAGCCAACAAGTGCTCAGCATATGTGGGAACTCCTTCAAGACTGTTGGAAAAGCATTCCAGGTGAAGCTGGTTGAGAGAATGCCAAAAGTGTGCAAAGCTGTCATCAAGGCAAAAGGTGGCTATTTGAAGAATCTCAAATATAAAATATATTTTGATTTATTTAACACTTTTTTGGTTACTACATGATCCATATAGTTTTGATGTCTTCACTGTTATTCTACAATGTAGAAAATAGTAAAAAATAAAGAAAAACCCTTGAATGAGTAGGTGTGTCCAAACTTTTGACTAGTACTGTATATATAGTGTCAGTAACATACATAGTCTTACATTGTAAAGCATTTTCTCCATTAAAGTGGTAATCATTTCATCACCGATTTTCCTATCAATGTGGTAAATCATTTCAATAGAGGCCTCTATTTTTCCCTTTAATGTCTATGATAAGCCTACAGTAGGCTATGACATGACATGATACACAAATCTGGCACTTTGGTCCACATGGCATTTGTCTAATTACAAGCCCAATTAACAACATTATATTATGTCCAGGTCAATCTAATCTAATGCCCCTTTGGCCTTCGTTAGGCCGTCATTAGGCAGGATGGAGTGTCTCGTGTCATGATACTGGGAAATGGATACTTCCATAGAACCAATGGGTTCCTATAGTTCAAGCCAAAGCCCTGGGCAGAGGCATTGACAGTGCATCGGGTGGAGCGTGTGTGTGTCTGTGTCTGTGTCTGTGTGCGTGTGTGTGTTGTCATTAACAGTGTATGGCCCTGAGGTTTCAGAGCAAAGTATGAAACGGGTCAATTCTGTATGGAACCAGCCTTGGAGGCCTGCCTCACTGGAACCAGCTGAAACAACCTGGACTCAGGGGTAAACCTAACATAGTAAACAGAAATTCGGGACTCCCAAATGAGTATGGTCTGTTATGTTTGGTATGGTATGAATTTGTGGATGTCCATCATGCATTTCGTATGATATGTTATGAATTCTAATTTATTGTAGGCAACTTTAGCTAGGTGGCTAATGCTAACGTTAGCTAGGTGGCTAGCTAGGCTAGGGATTAGAGTTAGGGGTTAAAGTTAGGGTTAAGGTTAGGGTTAGAAGTTAGGTTAAAGGGTTAAGGTTAGGGTTAGGTGAAGGGTTAGC